CCCGATTTCAAGCTATATTACAAAGCAGTGATCACCAAGACAGCATGGTAATGGCTTAAAAGATAAACTAAACAAACCTTCAGCTAGATTCTCCCAAGAAAAAGTAGAGGACTCAAATAAAATCATAAATGAAAGAGGAGATGTTACAACTGATACTACAGAAATACAAAAGTTGATAAGATTCTGCTATGAACAGTTATATGCCAACAAATTGGAAAACTTAGAAGACATAAATTCCTAGAAAATAAAACTATTAAGACTAAACTATGAAAAACTACAAAATCTGAACACACTAATAAGTTTTATGTGTGCATAGAAACCAACTTAGAGAGTCAAGGATCAGCAAACTGAAAGACAGGGCAGTGGAACACATTTATGGTCAATTAATTTTCAACAAAGGAACCAACACTATGCAATGGAAAAAGGATAGTATCTTTAATAAATGGTGTTGGGAAAACTGGACAGCCATGTGCAAAAAAATGAAACTGGACCACTATCTTACACCATACACAGAAATGAACCCAAATGGATTAAAGACTTGAATATAAGGCCTGAAACCATAAAACTCCTAGAAGAAAACAAAGGGTAAGCTCTTTTAAATTATCAGTCTTGGCAATGATTTTTTTTTAGACTAAAAGCAAAGGCAACAAAAGCAAAAATAAACAAGTGTGACTATATCAAACTAAAATGCTTCTGTAGAGCGAAGGGAACCATCAACAGAATGAAAAGGCAACCTAAAGAATGAAAGAATATATTTTTAAATCATATATCTGATAGGGGCTTAACATCCAAAATATTTTTTTAAAGAGAGAGAGAAAGAGAGTACACATGACTGGGGGGAGGAGCAGAGGGAGAGGGAGAGAAGCAGACCACTGAGTGTGGAGCCTGACGCAGGGCTCATTGTGGGGCTCGATCCCATGACCCTGAAATCATGACCTGAGCTGAAACCAAGAGTCAGATGCCCAACCAACTGAACCCCCTTAACATCCAAATATTTTAAAAACACATATTCCTCGGGGCGCCTGGGTGACTCAGTCATTAAGCCTCGGCCTTTGGCTCAGGTCATGATCCCAGGGTC